AGGCGCTCGCCCACCCGCGGCAGAGGCCTTGGGCTGCCCCATCCCTGGAGAGGTCCCTGGTGACACCTGAAAACCGGGCGCCTTCCCGCCTCGGGCACCGCGGTTAGCCGGGACAAGCTTCTCGACGCTTCTGCGTGGCTCATTGTGCTGCTGTCTGGTCTTTAACTTTTTTCCATAGCGGGGAGGGAGTAGAAATTAGATTTATGACTTACTTTATTCACTTCTCTGTTCAGGATCTTTTGTTGTCTCCAAAATACGCTTTTGTATTGTGGGCTTTGATTCAGGCATCTTGCTCACCTGCTCCGGAGAAGTGGATCTGACTTTTACCAGAGCTGAAACTATTCAAGGGATCTCCAAAACTGTGCAAGATCCTAGCTATATTCTCTGTCTTTAAGAGCAGGAATAACTTCACAGACTAACTCTCCTATTTTAGTGAGTAAAATTCAAATGCATGCCACGTGTGGCTGGATCTTTTGGGACAATTGCAAATACTGAATAATCCTTCAAGTAAGGGCCCTTCTTCCTGCAGGGATCAGATTCTGTGCTGTTAGCCTCTTCTCCTGTTCTACAGCATGCTTTGCAGTTCAAAGTGAACTTCAATTGTACTCTAAGCAATCTGACTTGTAATGCTGCGTGAGAAGCAACGTGTTTCTGGGGATATTTCCATGCTTGATAGATGGAAAGAAGACTTCTCCGTTACTACTGTAACCTTTGTCTGCTACCTGCTTGTATGTTCCATATACAGGGTTAATCTCATTACAGGTGTTACCTTATGGCACATGTATGTTAATATGTGCAAATATGCCTATAAAATGTTAACAGCACGCCTTTGTCCTTGCTCCCCATTATGTAACAGGGGAAAGTTTTACTTGACCCTAGGCAGAATATTAACACGCTCCTTTTGATATTGTCATACATATAAGAAAGAAAGATAACTGCTGTTGGCTCTTTGACAAACCTAGCAGAAAACCTTGAAAACCACAGTCCTTTCAAGGACGGACTTTTAGCTTGCCTTTCTGTTGCCTTCAGGTATGGAGATTCTTTTGGAACTTAAGTGTCATAGGAAACCATCGATGCAAAAAGTGCTTCTTGCAAATTTAGTTCAGCCTGCATGCATGCATAGGATGACAGTGCACTTCTGTGTGTTCTCCTTCTGTGGTACTACAATACCCCTCTCCTATTGTAGGATTGATGTGGGGTGAACTATTAGTATTTTCTCCATGGGAATACATGTTGGAAAATAATTGAGTAGCATAGGCTTGTTTTGAATGACTGGTGTCCGCAGCCGGTTTCAGAGTGGGATCGGTAATAATTTTAGCATAAAGGAGAGTTATCTTCTGCAGTGGGAAAGTCCTGTGCTCTGTGTTATAGGAATGCTAAGTTTTCAGCAAGCTGAGCAGGGGGAGCCCTACGTGGGCATCAGGCATGGCACTAGAGATGAGGAACTCCTTGAGTTTAGTGGAATGACTTGTGAGAATTGAGCTGAAGTTATTGAAATCAGTACTTCACCTCAATCTTCCATGTATTTTCAAGATTTGGACAGCAGTGATGACTCAAGTTTCAAACTTGACTCCCTTATGCTAACAGAAAATCTAATCTGATTGAAGATACTCATGGTGGATTCTTCATCTGACTTACGCATCCTAAACTAGAGTTTTAGTGACTTACTGGCTGGTGTTTCTTGGTCCTGGCTCAACAGATAAGCCCAAGTGTCTCTCTTTCTCCTATAAAAATAAATTAAACCACCAGTTAGTAATTCTGCAATGAACTGCTGTACCTCAAACCCTGTCTCTTGCATGTGCCCTACTTGTGTTGCCTAAACCAAACAAAGTAATTGGGAAACAAAGTTTTGGATTTCTAAATTGTTGCAGTAAAATGTAATTCCTGTATGTAAGAATGTGAACATCCTAATCCCCTTGATGGGGGTTGATTACAAAAGGGTTGTTGGTTTCAAAGTCTGGTGATTAGATGACGTGAATATGAGGATGCTCAGATATGCTTCTTTCACAGGCTGTGTAAGATCCAAGACCTGAAAAAATGGCATTGGCAGCAATTGATCCACAGCAGGTATGTCTGAGTTAGCCCCATAGTTTTTTATGTCTAGTTCAGAAAAATTGGTGTGAACTAACCTCTTTCTCTTTTAAACAGAACATTGTATCGAGGGTTGTCAACCTTCCTTTAGTGAGCTCCACCTATGATATGGTGTCTGCAGCTTACATCACCACAAAGGACAACCATCCTTACCTGAAGTCAGTATGTGAGATAGCAGAGAAAGGAGTGAAGACAATTACTTCGGTAGCCATGACAAGTGCTATGCCTATCATCCAGAAACTGGAACCACAAAGTAAGGCAAAGATGAAGCTGTTAACTTTAATTCAACTGATTGCTTTATATATCCAGATGCACTTGTAGTTTAGCATGGTCACGGTGGTCAGGAGTGCTGTTTCAGGTAGTTGACCAAACCTGTTGCCTGGCTTACTGAGTAACTGATTACAGATGGGTATGATTTAACAAACAAAAAAAAAAATTCCAGAGCCAAAGCAGATCCCAGCTTTTGTAATATTAAACTGACTGACTCCTCTTGATAAGTAAGGTGGTTACATAGTCTCTTGCTCAACACCTTCCTCCCCTTTCACCTAGTTCCAAATGCTACTTTGTACTTTCTCTTACCCAGAACAACTTGTGGTTAAATTTGGCAACTGTGTCACAAGGCTCCTGCAGCCAGGAGCCTGGTTTCACAAAGTGGCAGAAGGCCAGGTGCTTCAGCTTGTTCTAACAGTTCCTTGTGAAGTATTGAATGGATTTTCTCTGCCTGCAAGTGAGCTGTTTTCCTAGCCCTGTAAACCTGCCTTGTTCTTGGGCTTTGCTGCCTCAAATCTTACTGAAAAGGGGAGAAAACTACTTTAAGAGCATTGTTGCATGAGCTCTGTTTCAAGAGAAATTCTCAATTGGAGTTATTTATACAAAGGGAAAAAAATTAAAAACAACTGTTGTAATTTCTTTTATAGTTGCAGTTGCCAACAACTATGCATGTATGGGTCTAGACAAAATTGAAGAGAGACTGCCTATACTGAATCAACCAACTGACAAGGTAAGTTCTTTCCATGTACGTATGCTAAGCAGAAGAACTATACAGCCTTCCTCTTTTCTATTATCACTAAAAATACAGGCGACAGATTTCAATAAGCCATGCCTGAAGCACAGCTTAGAAACAATGAGGAAGTAAAAGGTGTTTCTGCAGAATTGTTTGTTGCTTTTGGGAGGCCGTTAAGCCTCTTGCTTTTTCTTTTTTTTAAATTTGCCCCACCATTTGACACATCTGTCTACAGCTGCTGTTCACTGGTGGGCATCCTTTTTGGAAATTTGAGTCCTTGTCTCTTTCCTGCTCAATGTGAAGCAAATAGTGCCTGAATTACATTTACTGAAGTGTTTTGAGCTGTAGGCTGTGTGTGGCAATTATGTTTTGTACATATGTTTTCAGGGCAGAATTTATCCTAGATAACCAATACTTGTACAAGCTTTAGCATAAATTTACATTTCCTGGATTGTGTAGCTCTCACTAAAAGTATTTCTAGTGAATCAACCTGTTTCCTATGGCAGGTTGTCACCAATGCCAAGGATGTAGTTGTTGGAGCCAGAGAAGCTGTGACAACCACCGTGACTGGTGCCAAGGAAACTGTTGCTCACACGATCACCGGAGTTGTGGGCAAGACTAAAGAAGCAATGCAAGACAGCGTAGAAATGACCAAATCAGTTGTCAATGGCAGCATTAACACTGTCCTGGGAAGTCGTGTGGTGCAAATGGTGAGCAGCGGAGTGGACAGTGCTCTCACTAAATCAGAGACCCTTGTAGACCAGTATCTCCCACTTACAGAAGCAGAATTAGGTAAGACCAATTCAAGGTTTGATTTTGTTGGAATGCTTGTATTGGAGAGAAGCAAGCAATCATCCATCTTTTACTTACTCATAGTGGGGAGGGGGCACATGCTTCCCAAACTGCCGTTTGCCTTCCTGGTTGTAATAGCATCTTCTTCACAGGGAAGCAGAGTGAAAGTAAGGATTTCCACATATGGTGGTCTATCAACCTACCCTGGTGCTAAAGGACTACTAAACAAGTCCAGCATTTAGCTGTTGCTAAACAAATAAAATTGCCTCAGACCTCTAAGTTTTCTTCCAGTGCTTAATTTGCTTCCTTTTACATATCTAGAGAAAGAAGCTGCAAAAGTTGAAGGTTTCGAAGTTGGAGTTCAAAAGCCAAGCTACTACATTAGACTAGGATCCCTGTCTTCAAAGGTCCGCACGCGTGCCTACCAACAAGCCTTAAACAAAGTTAGAGATGCTAAACAGAAAAGCCAGGAGGCAATCTCTCAGCTCCACCACACTGTTAGTCTGGTAAGTTTAAGCTTTCACTTGAGGTATAAAAAGCAAATGTTGGCATAGTTTTGGAGTGCATAAAACAGCCAAAAGAGGCACAGGAAAACTGGAATTGCTCTCTCGGACTAAATGCATCTTCTAAATATAAAGCATTTCCCCATTCAGAGCTTTTCATTACCATCCAGGAGAGGTCTTAAATCAAGCTGAGCTGTAAACTACCCAGCAATTGCTTGTAATTTTAAGCACTGCAGAAATAGAAGTGACATGTTTAAAATGATATTCCTGTTTTAGAGTGCTGGGTTGGACGCAGGCTTCATTCAGTGAAGAAAGTGTCTTGCAATTTAGAAACACGTCGGTCTTTTAAGTCCCTGTTGTTAATAAAAATGTCATACTCTTTATGGGCTTGCTCTTCTTGCTGTGGGTATCTCTGAGCCTTCCTGGGTACTTCAGTAGTCTTATCCTAACAATGTACCTTTATGTACAGGACAAATTGTGCATAAAGAGTCATGGCCTTCTATGCACTTTCAAATCCTTGTGTAGGATACTAGTGGGGGAGGGCGAAATAGTAGAGGGAGAGAGATACACTACATAACATCTCAAAACTGCTTCCAGTTTTCTCTTTTGAAGAGAAGGAACATGCTCTTATATTCCCCAAAGTCTTTTATACTGAACTTTTAAAGTATTTAAAAAGGAGGTTACAAAGCAGATAAGGTAGGGTAGCCCTAATGGAACTGTTTGGACTCTTTGCTTTACTTCCTTATTTGGCTGTATTTCAGATCGAGTATGCCAGAAAGAACATGAATAGTGCCAATCAGAAACTTCTTGATGCTCAGGAAAAGCTTTATCAATCCTGGGTAGAATGGAAGAAAAATACAGGCCAAAATGATGGTGATGAATCGCATAGCGCTGAGGTAAATAGATGTAAATGTAAACCAGAAATAAATGGATTGTGTATGGTCAAAGTAATGGCAAACTAACAGTCCTCAAAGTGTGCAGCATCTTAACAGCACAGAAGCTTATATGCAAATACGGAATCTGAATGCTGAAGCTCAAGGCAGCTGACTAGTGACTACTAAGAAAAGTAGGGAATACCCAAACTCTTAAATGAGCCCACTTGCTGCAAACACGCTGGGGTTTATTCTCCTTTCAAGAGAAAGCCTGTCATGTTTAGCATGTGAACCTGTGTTGGGATATCCATATCTAGATCAGCTAGGACTCACTTATCTGATATGGCCAGACCAGAAGTAACAATTTCTCAGCATACAGCAGTCTTAGGCACAGACTCACTGAGTCTTGGATGTAGCTTCAAACAGTGGTTCATTGATTAGAATATACTTACCTGCTGTGACTTGTTATCAGAGTTGAAACAAGTGCTTGCTTATCTGTTGCTGGGTAGAAACTACCGATGTTTCTGTTCCACAAAGTACTTAAGCATTGAAGAAATATTAAGTACTTTCAAGTCTCTGACTCTTCAGACTTAAGACCTGTTTTATTATCTGCTATAGCTTTATTTTACTTACATCCCCTCTACTTTGCTTCTTTATGTATCTTGAGCAACATAAAGCTGCAACAGTTCCAAAAAGATACTAATGTGCTTTTATGCTTTTTGTTTCCAGCACATTGAGTCAAGAACTCTAGCTATTGCACGGAGCCTCACTCAGCAGCTTCAGACCACCTGCCTCACACTAGTCTCAAACCTACAGGGGCTGCCACAGAATGTGCAAGATCAGGTTTACAGTGTTGGGTCAATGGCAGGTGATGTCTACCAGAGCTTTCGGTCAGCCTCCTCCTTCCAAGAATTATCAGACAGCTTTCTTAACACTAGCAAAGGACAGCTGAAGAAAATGAAGGAGTCTCTGGATGATGTGATGGATTATCTTGTTAACAACACGCCACTCAACTGGCTGGTAGGTCCCTTTTACCCACAACTGCCTGGCATTCAGCATGCTGAGAGCGAAGGTGAAGGGGAGAAAAATTCCAGCCAGAAAGACAAACAGCCTGAACACACTACTGAGTAAACTGCATAGCATGCATGTACTCTGCTGACTGACCAAACAAGTGACCTTAGCAAGTGTAGCTGTCAAAAAAGCCTTGGAGAAAAATCCATAAACATAGGAGTGGGGGAATGATACAGAGAAAGGACATTCACACATGGGCTGTATTGCCCTGTGTAGTTAAGCCACTCTAAAAACTCAGACTGTCTTGAATGCCTAAATATTGGCAGCTTACAGTTGTCAAGATGCCTTGTTTGTCTGTCAAGTTAAGAAACCTCACCGTGCTATTAATTGTATTAATACTGCTAGTCTAAATGAAACCTGCCATAGCTAAAAGCATTTGATTTGTTGCTGAATCTGTACCAGAATGATATAAAAGCCCTACGTACTGTGAAATGCATTTAAAAGCCATGCAGTCCAGCTAGGTACGCTTAAATACCATATCTGCTGCAGGTCATGCAATTGATCATTATGGATCCGACTGTCTCAAATTCTACTGCTATACAATTCATGACAAAAGTTCTGTGAGTGCAGAATGCCAAAGCTGAAAGTGGGGTTTCTGAACGAGTCAGCTGGAGTTACTTAAATGCTGTGAAAGTGCTAACATTAACTATATAACCTGAACTATTGTATAACACAGTAACCTGACCACAGAATAGAGTATCTTGAGCTGGAAGGGACCCATGAGGATCATCGAGTCCAACTCCCTGCTCCTCGCAGGACTACCTAAAACTAAACCATATGACTGAGTGTCATCCAGATGCTCCTTGAACTCTGACAGGCTTGGTGCCATGACAACTTCCCTGGGGAGCCAGCCTGTTCCAGTGACTGACCAAATAATGATTAATCCATATATATATTTTTTTTTTTTCCCCCACTATGCAGTATAAAGACAAGATTCATGCTGTTTGTACCCAGGTGCCTGCTGTTGTGTGGGTTGTTGTGGGTTTTTTTTTTTGTAGCCATCTTTTTGTAATTCATTTTGTACATTAGTAATAAATGCTTCAGTAGCCAAAGTCTGTCTCCATTTCCGTGGTGTTTAAAACAAATGCAACTTGCTGTTCTGTGACTCCTTCAAACTGGGTCCAGCAGAAAGCAAGCCTGAAATGCAAATGAAGTAGACATGCATTGAAAATGTACTTGTGTGTGCGTGTATATAGATAGGTAAGATATTGCTGCAGCATTTCCTTCCTCCCTTTGAGTTCTTGTGCATCTTTCCATTCAGTCTTAGCTTTACTGCTGCTTTTTGGTGCTTGCTAAGCTGTGAGCTGATGGATGTTCTAATATTGAGAAGAGGAGGACATGGACAAAAAATAACCTGTCCTGCCTTCGCAGTAGGTGTTCTGTGTGCATGAGACTGCCAGCTACCTGCTTTGGCTGTTGGCTCCCTATAAACAGTGTATATACTCCTCAGTTGCAAACACTAGTTTTAACCTGTTTAACTTAATTTACCCTCTTTTGAACTTGAGTGACTAGTGTTCATTAACACTCAGCTACTTGGCTGGAATTGTTCCTCAATAAATCCTGTAAATCCCTTCCCTGGAAGAGAATTCCAGTCACTAAGAAATAAGCTTTCTTGGTTTAGGGCTGTCCAGGTAAGTTGTGTCTGTGTTTTTAATGCATGCAGTCATTAAAATGTAGCAATGCTGGCCACCATTTTCAAAGAGGTGTGAAGCAAAAATGGAGTTCAAAGGAAGCTTGTCACCTAAGTGACTTGTTGCCACGTGGAACAATGCCTCCACCTGGCAAAATGTGGGCACTAAAGCAAATTACATGCAGTCTAGCTGCCTAATGTGAGAGGGCTTGCTTAGCTGTTAAGTCAGGGTTGGCCTAGAAGTGTTAGGAAGACTGAGTTTTAAGCACAATATTAAACAAAATGGTAACAACAGAGGATTACAGGTAAAGATTCTGTAACCCCCAGCTTTAAATACTTGCTTTTTGTAAGGGGGCTGTTTAATATGAAATTAACATGAGATGGTGAGATATTCCTTTCCAGCTAGGGCCTGAGTTAAGACTTCTGGAATTCTTTCAGCAATTCTGTCTACTTTCAGTATTGAATGAGTCCAGCCAGAGAATATCCTTTTTTTAATCTCAATTTGTAATAAAATTTGTAGAGGTGTACAGGAACAGAATGGGACTAATCAGGCAGTTCAAAGAAGGGAATTCCCATTCTTATATGTATTTTAAAATTTGAAGGCTGTGGGCCTTCATTCTGAGGTGATCAATCAAATAAGATGTTCAAACTGTTCACTGTCTTTTGAGGACTGAGAAATGTCCTAGTATTAATGCAAGAGCAGTACCTCTTTCTGTTCTGCCTTAAGTTGCACTACTGTTTTGTACTCTCCTAGATGGCTGTCCAGCTTTAATAAATGTCAGCAGGCAGGTGAAGTAGAAAGCAAGGAAAAATGTTACCAGCCTAGACCTTCAAATCATTTCTCTCACCATGCATTGTTGGGTGGCTTCTGTGTAAAAGTTACTTTGACTTCTGACAGCTGACCTACAACTGGTAGCTGTAAATAGAGGAATGCCTGGTTAAATGCTTCCCTAATGGCTGGGTCTGTTACACCAAAATGCTGTACGCAGGTGCCTGTATTCCATGCTATTGTGGTGTGTGGTTGTTTTGTTGGATCCTGCCCCCTGCCAAAAGTGTAGAAGTTTCTATCCACCCCCTCCCAATAGAATTAGGAATCCTTTCCTGAAGGAAAAGAGAGCGGAGTAACAGCAAATCGGGATGTTCCTGGTTTATTATATTGAATAAAAGTCTCTGGATTGAAATTATTAGACTCTCCTAATAAGGACAGCACTGGATGTTTAAACTGAATTGCAATGTAGCTTGTATGAGTATCTTCTTGCTGGTAGTCTAGTACAGCATATCCCTGGACTCTGTTCTAATTACAAGTCTACAGACAAAACTCAGTATTTTTCTCTAGCACGGTCAGAGAGCGTGACTGCTAAAATGCCTGCTGGAGGCAAGAATGACGTGGACACCTTCCAAAGCCATCTTTGGGTTTTTTTGCCACAGTGGACTGAAGCTGAAGTGCATGCTAATAACTGCTGAGAACTCTCAAATACGAGGAAAACCTGAGATATTAAGAGCAGAGGCTGCTTGTGAATTTTTCCTGCCATCTTACCTGTTTCTCTATAGTTGCAAGTATCAAACAGCTCAGCTATACTGCACAGAAACTTGCTTGTTCTTAGTCCAAAAACACTTTTGAGGATATAGCTTGGGCTAGAAATCTGTTAAGTATCTCTGGAACCTTTTAAAAAATATAAGACCAGATATGTTGAAAATTATAGGAAATAGTTGATCCTATTTGCAGCAGGGCAGATAAACTTGGTGAAATGGAACAGAGTGTCAAAGGCTGCTAGTCACACAAAAACTGGGATGGTAAAGCTTAGAATACTAACCAAGTAATTGTCGCTGGTAAGGTTATTTAGGGTTTATTTAAAATTCAGAAAATTATTGTTTCTCTTGAAGAGATCACTGAAAAATGACTCATGCTAGTTTAAACTTCCCCTTTCCAGGCTCATTTAACTGAGAACTATTATTCTGTCATTGCTGATAACGCTTTGCTGCAAAAGTTCTAAATATAAGCATTCATAAATAGCTCCATATGCTCTAAAAGTTTAGCAAACGTATTCATAGCAGCACACACATTGGACACATCCAAATTACAAGATTTGTATAAAGACTGGAGTTGCAGAGATACAGCTAGTTTGCCTCAAACTAAGGAAAGGTGGAAAGCTTTTGAAATCTCTCTCGTTCCTTACGATGACTTTTTTGCAATAATCTTTTCCAAACTGCAATTTACAGTAATATTATATAGCTAGTAAAATAGGTGAAAGGATTTGGAAACAACTGATGAATTATTTCTCCTTATTTAAAACAAACAAAACCAAACAACCAAAACCCACAAAAAAACCCACCCAAAAACTTATCTAAGCCATCTAATTAAAAAGAGAAAATGGAACCTAACTTATTTTTTAAGCATGATCTGTTGGTCACTTGCATGATCAGAAAGTCTTACATACAACAGCTTGCTGGAGGTATTGTGCACAGTGTTTTGTTAAATGTATTTCTTTTCGTTCTAAGATGCAAATTTTATTTCTTTTGGATAATACAATCTCTGATAACTAAAAATAAGTGCTTGTTCTGAAAGTGCACGAAATAAGAACCATCTCTCAAATTGGTAGTGGCTCAGTTCTGAATATATATTAAGTGAGAAAAAATGGATTAAAGTTAAGTTAGTATTGACATTAATGTTTGTATATGAAGATAGCAAAACACTGAAGCATGCTATGCGCTGTTCCATGCAAGGATTTTGCAGGTTTTGCACTATTCTATGTAAATCATCTGACTGCATCTTACCAAGAAATGGCACAACGAAGAGTCGTATCTGGCCTTATTCTTTATGGCAAGAATTGACTTACTGCTTTGTTTCAATTTCCTGTCAACAGTGAAAAGTGATATGGAACTGAAGGTCCTTTACCTGAGCAAGCCCATAACACCAAGTGCTTTGCGTTGTTTAGTTAGACTGGTGCAGATGTCAGAATATGCTATTCTAATACAATTTAGCATATTCAAAACTGAGATAAATCATACTGACATCAACCCTGTTTGATGCTGACAGATAGAGTCCAATTTGAAATTCTTTCACGGCTATGAACGTCTCACTAGTACGTTAGAAGTGCCAGCTGCTTATAATGTGTGCATTAAGGAGATGAAGAAAACACAAACTTAAATTTGAGTAATTATCCTGTTAGTAAGAACAACATGGATATAAGTAATAGAAGTGTCTTAAACCTAGGATATAGCGAAAATAATCACTGGTCAGACACAGTTACTGAACATAGTCATGTGCCCTGCTCAGCGTAAATACAGAATAAAACAACTTATTTAAACTATCCATTTGGGCAAGTTTTAAAACGAGTTTGCATATGAACTACTTGGCCTTAGTCTTGTTAAGATATCCCCATTTGTACTGCAGTATGAAATACAGGGTCAGGTGTTGATAATGGGAAAACTTGTTGATTTCTCTAAGTGCAGTAATTAGAGTTTTGGGTAAACTGCCATAAGCAGAAAGATGCAAGATAATTCTTTCTGGTAGAAAGATGTGTTTCCCCCATTCCTAGTGCCTTTTGATTTTTTAGGAGACAAAGATTACTGATCTCAAAAAAACTTCTGGTTATGAGTAAATTGCTTAATTATATCCCATTTTTCAGAAGTGCTTAAGTAATCTAAGTCCTACTAAGGGGACTTAAGGGTTAGGATTTAAGCTCCTAAGTGTCTTAGCCAACATTTTTAGAAGTGTGTAACATCCATGTATCCACTAATGTCTCTGGCAACTCCTGAAACCTGGTGCTGCTTAACAGTACAGAATGCTATACATGCAGATAAAACAGAGGCCAAGTGGGATTGCAGTTCCAGATATTTGTTTCCTCAGGAAAGGTTTCATGCAGTAGGCAGGCAGAGCAGTACAGAGCAATCTGTATCAAGCTCCTCAGGGCAGGTTCCTTTGTATAGCCCATTGCTCCCAAGGAAAGAAGAAAGGCAAAGTAAGTTTAAAAACCTCCTTTCTTAATTTTCCAGTCACCAGTTTCACTAAATACACTTCACTAAGTTCAGTTCTGTTCCATCTCTACTATAAACTCCTGTCTTCTAAGCAACTGATCTACATCTTGCATAGTATTTGTTCTGTCTTAATGCTATGTGTTTCATATGTGACGGAGCATATTTCACTCTGCATTCAGTGTTTTGGGCCTGATTTCTAGAGATGCTGAGCATCTTTGTCTCCTGACTTTAGTGAGGAGTACTGCAAAAATTTATTTAGTTTTACTTTTGAATTGATTGAAATTTCATTCCTACGCAGGTTCCAGATTTCACTATTACAGACCTGTCTTCAGAGTCAGATGATATCCCAGACATTTTGGATTTGGACGAAGATGATCAACAAGACTTTTCACGCACAAACGGTCCTTACACTACAGGGCAAAGAGCTGAATGAAGAGAAGCATAAAAATGTCTTTTTGATACAATGTACTTTTGCCATGTTTAACTTACATTTCTCCTTTTTAAGATGAACCTGCCTAGCTTAGGGATTTTGGGGATATTTTTTTTTAATCACTACTGTTTCACTTAGGTGCATCAAAATTCTGATTTTTCCATCCAGGGAATGCATGCTACATTCATTCATTAGCATGGGTGTCAAGCTCCCATTCTACAAGCCAGGTATAGCCTAATCAGTGTATCCAGCTGATCTAATCTTTGTTAATGATTTGTTCTCCTGCTGGGAGCAGCTATGAGAACACTCCAGTGCTTTGCATAAAGGGCTGCCAACAAAAGGAGTTGATAAGGATTTGCCCACAAAATTTGCCCTTTCAGAAGATGTGAAAAGCACTTCTGCATCTACCTCTTTGCTGCTGGAAGGGGTAAGGTACTTTGTCTCAGATTCTCTCAGGTTCTTTTTATTAGGCTCTGTACCTACAGAGCTTAGAAGTTTAGAGCTTCCCTTTGGCAAGAGCGCTTTATGCGCAAAAGGACTCCCTTTCGGTCGACATGCCTTCTGTGTGCAAAAATTTTGGCCATCCTGATGCCATCAGTTGTGGGGCCTGAGACTAGAAGAGGGTAAATGCTTAAAAAAGATTTTTTGCCAGGAATAAGGATGACAGTTAAGAAAGAAAGGGTAAGAGCCTGTAAAAAGTAAGGACAAATGGAGGGCAAAGAGATACGAACAGATGTGGGACAAATTAAAAAAAAAAAAAAAAGAAGAAGAAAGAGAATTGAAGGTAGGGATACTTCTGGTGGCAGTGATGATCTTTTTATGTTTAAATAAAGTCTCAATCAAATATTTGCTAAGGAATGTTGAATCCGCATTTGCTTGCGGATAGTGACTTCTGTAGGAGCTGGAGGCATTTCTTCCCGAGGATGGGGCCGAACTCCTCCCGCAGAGATCCCCCCCGTGTTGCGGGGGTGACTGCAGCAAGGCAGCAGGTGGTGCGCAGTGCTACTTTCGTACAGCCGCAGACACGTCACTCGGCGTGCAGCTGTGACGCTGGCACCTCGGCGCTCTCATCATGTAGCGCTCGGTTGTTGTGGAAACTTTGAAGTCTAGTCACTGAAATGCCTTGGAATAAAAGTTTGAACCGCACAGCCTGCTGCCGCTGCGAGTTTTACTTGGTTTCTGTGTTAGATTTTGTAACCCGATCACAAAATGACTTAAATTGGAAGGGCCCTCTGGAGTTCGTCTAGTCCCAGCGCTGCGCAAAGCGCGACGCCCTCGATGATCAGCTCACGCCGCCCGACGCCTCGCCGGGGCGGGTTTCGAGCGAGGGCCTCTCCGGCGGCCCCTCG